TATGGACATGTACTCTCTACTTTACAACTTAATATTGAGATTCTTTCATGTTTCCATAATGTCAATTAATTTTTATTATTTAACTAAAAGTTTCTACTACAAAAGCTTTATTGCTAACCCATGAAGTATTTCTAATACTACTAGTTTTTATAAAAAATAAGTTTGGAAACTGAATAAATTGACATCGTGTATGACTTAAGTGTAATATGTATGTGAGTAACACCGAGGAACAAACGTAAACTATTTTATTTCCGTACGTGTGAAGGAACGGTAACAGCCACATAATTCTTTTACCATAGATACTCCCCAAGTCATTTTGAAATAACGGGGTTTTATGCGATGAGATATAACCGAACTATAACTATAACTTTTGACTTTGGTACGACAACGTCCTTCACGATAAAGTAATATTTTAAAATGCCAAACGAGATAATTTGAACATAAATACTAATATCGACCTAAGAGATGTTAGATTTTTTTTTTACTAGGATGCTAGGCAGCCTGGGATTGTTTTTCACATTACTTCAGATTAGACCTAGGGGTTGCGGCACCATCACTTAGACTTATCCATTGGTGACTTGGCGGGGATCGAACCCGGGACCTCAGCTCGCTCCCCCAAAGAGATGTTAGTAACGAATTACAAAATCAAACATTAGGCGTATTTAGGAACAAAATAAAAATAAATTAGATACATTTAAACTAGAAAGAAAAAGGATAACAAATTTTACCAAACAACTTATAGATGTAATAAAAAATTACCACATATAACTAAATTACTAAAATATCTATGAATCAATCCAGACGCTTAAATTTGTTTACTATTTTACGTAGTGTGTCAGTTTTGGTCACGTTTTACAAACGTAAATGTAAATTCAAACAAATAAACGTATTTCTAAATTCTAGATTTAACATGTAAAAGCTACTATAATACAGCCAAATCGAGGCAGAACTACTGCAATGAAACCACTATGATAAACATTCAGGTTACTAAGCCGGATGACATCTCATTTTGTTTGTTTGAATTGAAGATGAAGCCGATTGAAGAGGTAAACCGTTCATTTAATTAGAAGCTAATCATCATCACTGATTTAAAATTACAAACTGAAATATATCCTATAAACCATTATGTTCATGACAGATTTAGCTTTGAAACATGAATATTTCCCTGGGTTTTTAAATGAATAAGCCAAATTTATGTCAATCACAGTACTATAGGATTATCGCAACTGGAAAATTGGTTAATGCTTAGATCATGGGATTTCGTATTTCCAAAGTTTTTTTACTAGCTTCTCTGCTTGAGTGTGAATGTTTTGTTATTGAGTTTGGTTGTGATATGCATATGTGCTACGTGTATTACTTAGTAGGGGTCAGTCCCAACCTGGTAGTGTACCACAAAATAAATTCATATTTCCAAACAATATTCGACGAACGTTATAACGTTACAATATAAATCCCATTAGTTTTGCTATCCCATTTAACGTTTACCCATTCCTATTTTCCGATCCAATGACTATAGTAGTTATTGCACTAATCCCCATTGACATAATCTAATGATTTAATAGGCTCAATCAATATTCTGGATAACTAGTATTTAGAATACAATGGTTTCAATCTTGCAGAGGCAAGAGTTGGACTGGTGGGAGGGTCAATGCAACTATTCAATTAGGGAGAACGATGATTAATTTATACCAGTTCAACCTCTCAGGCCCTACTTTTGACCATCCTGAATGCCCTTGGGACTTGCTTTAGTGATAGTATTTAGAAAGCCTCAAGATCAGATAGTTAGATAGTTTGTTTCGATTGCAACTTTGTAATGATATTGCAGGAGCACATTAGAGCTTAAGAAAAATTTCAAGCATCTGATACCAATAGTACCTATTCCACAGCAAACTTGCAGACTAAGCGAATTTTCAATTCGTTTGATTAGATTTTGGGTAAAATATTTTCAAAAACAAGGCATATTTGTACCACTTTAACATTAGATTAGATGAGTTCTTAGATTTGCTGCTACTAGGAAGGGAAAAAGTGTTTTTCGATAAAATGATAGGATACATTTTTCCTAATTTGATCATTCACATAAACAAGCAAAGTACAACACTTTTCTTTGTTTCCTTAAGAACAACACGGGAATTCTAAATTAGTATTAGTAATTATACAGTTTATCAAAGTAACAAACAAACTAATTGAAACATTTCATATAAACTCGTTGACATTTTTTATACAAAAAACAAGCTTTTAATTGCCACCACTTAATTTCTATGGAAAAAGTTAAAGTGATCTATCAAGTTATTGAGGTCGGGAATGATCTTGTTCATACTTTGAAATATGAAACGATTTTCCTTAAAATCTTATCCAATGTAACAAGCTAGTTAAGTGTGAATACAACATAAATAAATATACAAATACCAGAATTTTGGTTTGGAATTTTTGAATTTTGAAAGTGAGGGAGTGCTCGGGATGGTCCAAAAACCAAACCAAATAAACTTTATTTATTTCCAGGGACAAGTTAAGGTATTTATAAAACTTTGTTCTTGGATACTTTCAAATTTAAACATTGACTTTAGGTGTAACTCTTCAAAATAGTATGTAAAATTAAGTGAGAGAAACTCTGCCATGTACGATTTTTTATATGCAGCGCAACAAATAATCCAAAATTTATAAATAGTTCCATTTTACTGCCAAAGTCAAGTTAAAATAGTTACAACAATTTATTTGCTGATTTATAACAATTCTTTTGATATTCAAAACAGTGTTAAAATTACGTAAAATTACATGACAAACATCCTTTAACAAATTGGAATTTCTGAAAGGGGTGCAAAAAATCCCAAATATGCAACGAAACAATCATGGACTATTGTATTGCTATAGAGAATATCTAAGCATTACTAGATATAACTTAGACCGTAATATTCTAAAACATTTCTTCCTATCATTTTATATTAACTCCACTAGTTAGCAAAGTGTAACAATGTACACCACCTCTAAGTTCCCACCCCTTCCACCCCCATCATCCCTCCCATCACCAAACTAACCACTGAAACTCCTCCTCTTGATGAAGCAACTGTTTGGTTTGAATTCACCCGAGAGTTGTGCAGCCAACTGTCTGATGACTTCACCTGAATAATCAACTAACAAACGCTTAAATCCTTTGAAATACGAAAATGTGAGGAAATTAAGGGCAAATGAATTAGACGTACTAGTTTGTCGGATTTTGGTGGTTGATTCATTATTAGTATAAACGAAACCGGTTTGGTATAGGTAAAACATATTTGATGAAAATACCATCGCAATAATTGTAGAGCCATTGAGTAAAATTGCACAAATACATATACAATTCTTTTATTCAATTCTATTAAAGTATTTTTCAAACATATGACAACAAAAGAATACGTAACATTCAAGCAAATGGAAACGTTTAAATAGTTTAACCCAAATGACCTCTTCTCTTGTAAAAGAGCTCTGTTTACATTTTACATAAATTTATAATAGTCTATTGTTTATCAGGAACCGACAATGTTCTTTTTATTCTATCACATTTCTATCAACATCGACCATGTACTCTATTGTTAATGTTTGTTTCAACCACTTGTCCATAACTTTTTTAAGTTGATCACACACACTTTTGCCCCACAGTAAAATGTTCAGTTTCTTTCATGTCTTCATTCATAGCCCATTAAAGTTGGATTTAAAAAGGTTACAACTAATAACATGCTACATTAAATTAAATAGAATGTGTCGAGTAACTCCACAGTCATGAATGTAACAGATTTTCAAGTGAGGATCAAGGGAGCAGTTGCAAAAGTGCCTCTAAGCAGAAAATAATTATTTCATATCAATACATCATCACGTGTTTTTTAAGCCGACAATGAGTGAAAGACGAGTGTCAAATCGATTACATTATAGCTTTGATACAAATCATCTGGCTCTTTAACCAGGACTGTCCATTGTTTCTATGATCATATAGAAGCTAACCTACCAAAATAGTGCACCCTCTTATCTTTGAATAATCTTTTTTCGGTCGGGGACTTCTCGTCTTTATATTCATTATCATTGACCCTTTAGAAGAGTGGGCGGATCGACCACTAGTAAAAGAACAATAAAAATTGTGTCTTGTAAACCTAGAGATATGCACACATCTATAACATTAAGTTGCAGGATTTCTGTCTTAGGTTCCAGGTATCTTGGATAGCCTAGCGATACAAATCTTAATATAAATTATTTAAAACGATGTTGTATAGTAAATGTTTAACACGTTCGCTGCTACGGACGTTCCGGAACGTCAGCCGGGCCACGGCGCCAGGAGCTAAGAACGTTCCAGAACGTCACCGTTCATTGTTGTTTAACGTTGCTATGGATAAGCCAGCACGTCACAAGCGTTCTATATTTCTTTGCAGCTCGTGGGGACGTACTTTTCTGACAATAAAAAATATAGTTTCCCAAATCACCACCAGGGTTGTTTGGAACAGGGCTTTGTTTTACCTCTTTCCTGCTAGATAGCGACACTACTTTACCGACTGTAACCTGGGTAGTGCTGCTATCCATCAGAATCACTTAGTACTATATCAAATGCCAGTATTATTGCAGAACATTGCCATCCAGTATAACTACTGTTGTTTTTACTGTAATTCAGTGTATCGGTGGCAATGTCACGCAGCGGCCGAGCGTTAGTTCAGCAACTGGCGCCGTCCCGGCATCTAGCGCTCAGCAGCGAACGTGTTAATGTTTTATATCTATAAGGTTCAGTTTTTTAATACGTTTTAAGCTAACCCTTTAGATTAGGCTCAATAGAAAGCACATTTGTAATCAATATACAACCATACATAAAACATATGCCTACTACCTTATACAACTCTCTCAAATGAAATACACATTTTTACCAAACGTATTTTTAAGAAGAAAACTATGTTATTTACCTTTACGATATACCAATTACAATGGATCCCCCCACTTTATTTCCGTCAAGAATTTACCAAAATGCGGGCAAACAAAAGTGCAATATCAGCTAGCAGATGTTGGATGTTGAGCAGTAACATATTATTGTGGGCCGGGGACAGCCGAACATTGGCGAAGGTACACGAAGTTTGCCTGGGGTCACCAATAGAGCGTCAGTACCGCCTCGCGCCCCGAAGGGAGAACTTACGTCTCTTATTCGAGTTAAACACGTAATTTTAAATAAAATAAACGCTTCTTTCTCTACTCACCCGTTCCTTTAGACTTAGATGAAAAAGTTTAAAGCCACAATAAAACAGTTTATAAGTGATAGGATCGTTTTAAGATTTGATCAGGTAAATTTACGATTTTAAAATCGAGTAGAGTAAATCACCAACAATGTTTTGTAACGTAATATTATTTGTGATACAAATTACCTTGCTGAAGGAAACTAGGAAATTGTAATTAAATTTTCTTTAATGTAAAATCGGGATTTAAGCTCGTCAACTATGGGAAGGCAGAAGTTGGTTTTGCTCACTTTCTTCTTGATTTTAGGTAAGTTTTGACAATAGTTTATCTAATAATGTAAGCAAAATAATACACAGGGGAATGTTCAGTTAATATATTTTGTTTTCTTTTAAATTGTTATTCTATAGGTTTATTTAAGATAAAACTTTAATATATAATAAAAGTACAACCTCTTCAATGCTGCACTTATTAAATAAAAATGTTTCGCTACAACAAGAGCTCTTGGTAAAGAACGAGTGCAGCAAGTTATAAAGTAAATACTCTAAAAATGTAACTGAATACCACAAAACGTAACACTACAGCTCATTAAAATGTGCAAATATTGAGTAAATGCATAGTTAGCTACGAATGGTATTTTTTTCGTCAGAAAACAACAAATAACAAATGTTTAGTTGTACGTCTCAAAATGTTCATGGTTTTAATTTATTTTGACTCGCGGCTAGCTGGTTAACGTAAAATGGCACGGAAGTATGCCACTGCAGAAATAACTAATTTAACTAAGTTAGCAGTAGTTAGAAATTAAAAAAAAGTACAACTAAGAAATAAAACAAACCAAATAATGGTCTAGTAAAAACAGAAATTATAGTACCACAGAACAGATTTGTTTTACTGTTGGAGAAAACTATATTTTAATCTCAGTTTCCACATATCATTATTATTATCAAAATGGAAGTGTTCTATCATAGTGCTAGAAACATATTTTTTAAAGCATTCTTTAAAATTTAATTCGGTTTACGTTTGTTTTACGAGGATTTTAAACATGTTTTGCTGTAAGTAACTTTATAAGTGATTTCGACTTTAATTAACTATTTAAAGACTTTTTCGAATGCCTTCAAAGTTTTGTGATATTCTTTTAACTCAAGAGAGCTAATTAGTTCTAAACAAATCTTGAAATTGAAGTTTTTAGTTAATTTGTTTTATTTTGAAAAGAAGAAAAGGCTTAAGCCAAAACTTAAAATAGTTTAATAATTAACTAAAACCCGTTACGTATTATTTTATAGAATTATAGAAGGAATATTCTGACTAATAGTAGATAAACATAATGATGATTTATTTTAATATTTTCCTCATCCTTATAACTCTCCTTAAACAAAGTAAAGAAGTTTCAAAGTTTTACTCAACAAAGTAGAAACTTCGTTTGACTGCAAAGCTTCTTTGAAAAAGAAACAATATACTCAAATACTTTGTTGATACATAATTTCTTTAAAACACATACTTTTTCGTAATAAAAGCTAAATCAGTCATATACATGATTTTAAAAAACATGTAAATAATAGTCAACACCAACTTTGAACGCACTAAACATAGGGACATACTTACAAATTGCTTAAAGCGATTCAACAAGTGAATATTACTATAATATTCTGCAAATTGTATGTAAATAAATGTAATTTAAATAAATATTTGTTCCTACAGTCACCCGACAAAGTAGGCTTCCTTGCACAGATTACAGTCACAGAAAGCCTTCCTTTGGCGCACAGTTTTTAATTTGGAGCAAACCAGTATGCCAACCAAACAACACAAAACAGTATGCTTTTATTATGCACTTAATACGCTTGTGTACGCTTGAGAAAACAAGTTGGCAACCCTTAAAGATATTACGACTACGATCAGTTGTGCAGCGTTTCCAATTTCGTTCAATGTTTTGATTTAACCTAACAAAAAAAAAAAAAAAAAAAAAAAAACGTGATGTTCTGTGTTTGAAAGACTATTTATTTATATAATTTATAGTAACTGTAGGAAAATATATTGTGTAAAATTTCGCCCACTAGTTACACAAATAACTATGGAAATGCTATTTAAATGAAGTCATCGTTATTTATTACTCCTTTCTAACCTCATAACTTTAACTACAAATTGACATTAAATAAAAACAGTCAGTCACCAAAGTATTGTTCCAATTGTATGGCTGAACAACACTGCAGCATTTTTGAAATAGTATTTTTCAGTGTTAACATAGTCATATATTGAATACATGTATTATATATGTATTTTTTGACATGTTAGTAGCCCTAAACATGCAAGAAAATAATAATACATGTATTATATGTCTTAACAAATTTAATATAATGTTTAAGTAAAATATAAATCGTTACATGGTGTTATCAGGAATGATTATAATGTATTGTTAATAAAACTAAATTGGGATATATATTGTTTATAACAATTTTTTTGGAAACCACAAATACTTTCAATTTTATCCAACATAATTGATTATGGATAGTGATCTTCTTTAGCACTGAAATTGATTTGAATATTTAAAAACTAACAAAGATACTTTGGAAATCTTGAAATTGGTTTGTCCACTTGCTAGCTATTTTTTTTTTCACAATGTACCTTTTCTGCAATTTTAAGGAAAGACGAAATCGGTTTAACCTAAAAAAAGTTTTCGAGTGATAAGAAAACTATATTTTCATGTTTATTCAAGGTTCTGTTGGCGCACTTTGTTTATATGTTAGTTTTAACAAATTCTAATACATTAAACGTATAAAATCAGTTTTGGAAACTCAATTGCTTGTAGCTTGATGAATTAACCATTGTACTTAATCGTTTTTCTTTGTACAGGGTGAGGCAATGAAAGCACCCTAATTTATAAAATAGTACAAATTCAATACTATTTACCCTATTGGTTTAAATAATGTAAAAATACGAAATCCCCCTTTGTTAAATATATATAACCCTTTTAGTGGATTAACAAAATATGAAAAGGGTGTAAATTAATACAATAACCATCTGAGTGTTATTAATACAATAACACGTTGTTCTTTTAGTGTTGAGATCACAATGAAAATTATGAAAATTGTTTGAGTTTTTATTTATGGTTGTTATAAGTACTATGCAAATTAGTGATGAACGTGTTATATTTTAAACATTTATTTAATCTTTTTATTTTTATAACTTAAAGTACAATTATTTGTACAACATTCTTAAGACCATTTTGACTCTGGTATCATTTTGATTTTAGTAACTCTTTGATTTGTGTACTAACCATTTCACCGTAAATTTATAACCCAGTCACATAAAATAGGAAAAGAATATTGCAACACCGTACATAACGTGAATTGGTGACATGGAGTGTTAAACTTTAAGAGAAGCCAACTTCTTACTTTGCCCCAGAGGCGTCAGTGAGATACACTATAGCTGCATTTGCCAAACTTTGTGTCTGCTGTGAAATAATGTAATACTCAAATGCATCTGAAAAAGGTATTTTTTACATTTAAATCGATTTTGTATAGTTCAAATAACATTTAATTGAACAAGTTTACAATATATTTTTTGCTGTAGCCGTATTGCTACAAATGAAATATTTTAAAATTGATTCAGTTTTATATTGTTTACAGTTACATGCACAGTTTTGTCTATTTAAAATCCTTTAAGAAATAGATAGACTATAAAAGCTTGAACGTATTATAGTTATGACAATTTTTGTTTAATGTTAAAGTTATTACAATATATAAGACACATTAATACTTTGTAACGCATTTTGTTTGAATATTAAAAATGAATTAACAGTAAAAGTTTTAATAATTTTTACTCAAAATTGGTTTACAGCATTGTTAAATTCCTTAAGTGCAGTGGAATAATATGAAAAACATATATACATATATAAGTTTGACCGTTTTACACTTACTTGTGCATGGTTGTTTTTAGAAATAAATCGAATTTGACAATGATATTGTTTTTAGAAATCACAAGTTTAATATTCATTGTATTGAATATTTTAAAGCCTCTTTTGACGTTAGTAAGTTCGATTACGCTTCAGTGCCCTGATTTAGACTGAATTTCCCTCTGTAAGGAAGGAAACCTCGCAGCGTGCCTCGTGCCTTTAATTTAAATATAAGTAGCTTTTTTATTATTTGTTTATATATTGAGTTTTGAAATTTTCAGCACGCTGTTTACACAAATTCCTGTCGTAAACCATTTTAAAGGTTATAGGTAATCTGTATTATTTTAAAAATATTTATTTTTGAATCTTATTTTGTCTAGAACTTAATTTGCTCTCAAGAAGCTTTTAAGACTAAGTAAAGGGATAGAAGTATTTGAATTTAATTGAAGTATTTTAAAAATGTCCATGTTAATTATAAAGTTATAAAATAATAAGGAGATCACGTTCAAGTGCTTCCCGAAAATACAAATACCTGGAAATTATATAGCCAAACCCCAAACCTCAAATATATGATGGTGTATTTTTGATTCATAATTATTGTACTCACACAATTGTCAAAATATCAACCGAGACGAAACAAAATATTCATAATTGCATAGAAAGTTTAAAATGTAGTAAAACTAAACAAAAGTAAATATCAATAAGGATCAAAGTATATATTGCTGCACTATAATCACTGATTAATTAAAAACAAAGACTTATTTGTATTGTAAAAAACCATAGTAAAAATAACCATCTCTGTTTAAATTATAATTAGGTTTTCATTGCGCTTCTTTGGATGTCGATTTAAATTAATAGAGAATATTTTGTTACCTTAGATGACTGGTTAATCTAAATGTTTCTTGGTGACTGCCTCATCAGGTTTATCCTCTTCTACGATTGGTCACAACAATTTAAAACAAAATACAAGTATATATTACTGTACATTCGATCATCGCTCGTTCGTGAGCACGTTTGAGTCGCCGCCGCCGGACCGATCAAACGCAGTCGCCACGAAACATGTAGTTTAGCCAGAACTAGAGTTTATGACTATTCAAAGAACAAATTTTTCAAAAACAAATATTTTTAGTAGAATTAAATTTAATTAAAAACATGTTAAACATAACAACTGTATAATATAATAATTCTAAAATTATAATACACTGCATTGCTTAGTTGTATTATGTATTGTTATAATAATAATTAAATAAGTCCTACTCAACGATGTAGTATTTTTGGTGCATAAAATATCTAAATAAACAACAGTACACAACGGTGGGTGTTTTTTGGCCGTAAACGTGATATGACGGAGATTTAGCAAAGACATATTATCTTTAAAAATTAACTGTATACTATACACCCGTATTTATATTGGCTGCTC